TTATATACCAGTGTCCAACAGAACCTTTCACTAGTGTAAGAAATGTGTGGAAGGGAAAAACAGGTAGAAAGATAGTTAATTGAGGGCTGTTTTGTGACTCTTTTTGGGTGTTTTAATTAATGACCTGTACCATATGGATAGTTCCACATAATGCACTGGTTCTCAACTATCAAGGTAACCAAGGGCACCTACGACCTATTAGGTGAACCTATTCTTGCATCTGGGTCTATTTTTCTGTTATCACAACTGCCACGCATTGTAAATTAGATCAGCATGGGCAAAACCCTCATTCATTGTTGACAATTTCGCACTCATACGCCTTTGCTAAGAATGCCTCTACAAGCCCATTACGGGATAGTATTAGGCCAGGACTCCCACAAAAGTATCGGCTACTGGCTGGTAGCAGAAAGATTCTTGGCAAAGATATCTGAAGGGCATGTTCCAAGATATTCCAGAACATTACCAAGTAAGGTGACAGAACGCGTCAAAGCAACGCTAGCGTGGCAATCATATATAGAACATTCGCCAGCACTTGTTTGACAAAGCGACAAAGTCAATCCATCCACTTAATACACGGAACCTAAACACAACATCCATAGTCTACTTCGCAAGTCAGCAAAAATGATGCGTCGCAATTTCAAGGCAGAGCTTAACACGAGAACTCAGAGCTTGGTTCCGCCGGGAAAAAGCTATGATAGCACGACATTCAATGCGATACTGCTTACCGAATCGGAAGTCGGAGACAGTGACGAGGAAAACATAAAGAGCAAGGCCGCAGATGCGCTCACACTGGCACTGAAAAAGGAGGAGCTTCACATTAAGGATGTGAGGGGAGAATCTTTTGTCGGTAATCGCACTGGCCTCAACTTGGCTGGTTTGGCAATGCAACTTGATACGTTCCAAAAGAAGTTTGAAGAGGAGCTCACCTCATCCAAAACGCAGGTCGGGGAGCTTAACGAGCGAGTGCTTACTTTGGAAATGTTCTCGGAGGGGTACAAGAAGTTGCGAAAACGGTTCCTCACCGCCTTCAAGAGCAAATTGTTTGACATTCAAAGTACCACGTACAAGGAAATCATTCAGGAAGGAAATAACTCAGCACATCGGGGTGATGTCCTTGTTGACGCCACACTCTGTATATTGTCGGAGGAGGGACAAGAGGAGCAGGAAAGGAACACCCTCGCCTTTGAGAAACTTTATGGGCTGGAGCCTCTGTTGGTATCACAAATCAGTGGGTAATCTTGCTATTCTTGAAAATATTTTGACTAACTTCTCCAGAGCGCAATGAGACTATCGAAGCCCTGAATGCTCATGCTAGCATGATTTCGTCGACAAAAAAAAACAAAAAAACTCCCACCAAATGCCTCGAGTTATTTGTGAAGTTTATGGAACTGCTGAAGGACTCCGGTTACGATGAAAGCTATTTAGATGGTGAGGATCCAAGTGAATTGGCGAATGCGTACCGGTCATTTCGGAAGTGTGCCGACACGTGGTTGGAGAAGCTATAGGCTGCTGGCGGTTAGCTGAGGTGGAACCTATTTGTATTTGGATTGCTGGCTGTGGTTTACGTCAAACTGATTAAGATACGACCTGCGAGAGGTGAAGAGGTCTGAGATATGGTAGTTTAATCATCAGTCGCGATACGAAATTACAGATCCAAGTTCATCTTTCGCTCAAAATTTTTTTTTTTTTTCCTATTGGCTCAAGTCCTCCACACTCTCTGCTGCAGGCTTGTGAGTAATATTATACAAAATTGACAGCATTATGTAGAAAAGGCCCCGCAGGAATTTGCGGGTATCAGGGGGATGTTGGTATAGCATTGCATTGCATTGCCGGGTATGGACGTTTTGCCACGGTGCGAGAGACTACTTCTAGCACCGTAAGAGGTTGTCGAAGAGCCTTCTTGACAAGATCTAGGGAAAAGAAGGGCCTGATACTCCTACATGTTCAACATCCACAGTCCGCGTTCCCAATAATAGTACCATGGTTCACGCACTTCTGTTTGTGTCAGGGATCACACCAACTTATCCGTGACAACTGACTCCGTCCACACGAGCTTGGAAACGCTGGTATCATAGTATGGCGGAATGGCTCAACAGGCACTAAAACGATCATAACACGTACTTGTAAAAAAAAAAGAGAAAATCCCCTCCCCACCACCACAAACCCACCCACCCTGACGTAGTAACCGTGTAATATATGTACATGGTTAGTTTGTTTTGTTTTATCGAGTTCGTTAGAACTTTCCCCCGCTTAGCTAACTAAGCCTACATGATTGGAGACGACGATGACGACGGCTTGTATATACAAGTACGAACTGACGGAGGTGGATGCAATTGAAAAAGAAGGGGAAAAACTTCCAGGGAATTCCGCGTTATTTCTGAGATACCGGAGATGTACGAGTTGCTGTGCCCCGGGAAATGCGGTGATGACTCGGTGGAAGAATATAGATGCTCTGCGGTCATCTTGGCTTTGTGTGCGAGTGGGAAAGACCCTGTGTGGGTTTGGTATGATATCATAACATATCTGTCGGCTTTTCTGAATTCGCAGGGATTACAGAGCTTTTGCGGGGTGTTGGTCTTGTGCGAGGGGGGCATGCAAAATCTGACTCCGGGAGCTTCCCCGTGGCTTCGAATCACCGCTTTGCATTTCTGTACTCTCCAGCATCATCCACTATTCAGTCGAGTGATATTCTATGAGTGCACAGTGAAATGGATGTCACGACCTAAATTTATCTTACTATACAAGCACAGTGTCTTTGATTGTCCTTACATATACACCCTCCAATTACCAGCTATCAAAGTTGCCGAAACCCCTACCCGCTTTTGGCTTCTTTTTCACGGGTCCATCATAGGCGTATTCCTCCATCACCTCACCAGCGACTTCATCCTCTCCCGTCACCTCCTTAGCCTTGATCTTCAAGTACTTCCCCACCTCCCCAGCGCTCCCTCCACCCCCCCTCCCAGCATCCCTCAACCTCTTCCCCGTCCAGGTCGTCAGATCCTCTTCATTCTGCCCCGCCCTCCTCCTCTCCTCCTCATTCCTCCCCTTCTCCTCCTCACTCGCCCGCTTCTTCAAGTACTCATCGAAGGGGTCCACAAACACGACCACCTCCTTCATGACGATATCTTTGATTGGAACGTCCCCGTCGCCCACGGGCGCCACCTCCATCTTGTCCAGCACGTCTAGTCCGCCGACCACTTTTCCGAAGATGGTGTGCTTGCGGTCAAGGTGCTTGGCGGCGCGGTATGTGATAAAGAATTGCGAGCTGTTGGTGTTCTTGCCCTTGTTCGCCATGGACAGGATGCCACGGGCATCGTGCAGGAGCGGGGATTCGAATTCATCGTCGAAGGGCTTGCCCCAATGGCTGGTTCCGCCGCGACCGGTTGCCGTTGGGTCGCCACCTTGAATCTGGTTAGTTGTTAGTGGTGCGTGTTGGCTACTAGAGAGAGGGGGGTACCATGAAGTTTCGGACGTTTCGGTGGAAGCGTACGCCGCTGTAGTATCCATTTTGTGCAAGTTTGACAAAGTTGTAGACTGCTTTGGGGGCATAGTCTGTGTGGAGTTCTATGTTTAGGTTTCCCAGGCTCGTGGATATGCGCGCGTAGCCTTTGATCTTGATGCGTTTCGGCCTTAGCATGTACTCCTCGTCCGAAAGCAGTGCGCGTTCAGCGCCAGTATGCGGGGTTAGGGAGGTAGAAGTTAAGGAAGCGGCAGCCCTCCCGGTGGTATGCCTTGCAGCGTTGTATGGTACGTTCTTCCCTGCACTGTTGCTCCCACCAGCGGACGAGGATGATGACCCGTCGCGGGATAGTGCGCCAGAGGCTTTCCCACCCGGACGAGATGGGTTGTGATTTGGATCTGAAGATTTGGCTGCGCGAGCTTTCGCCACAGCGGCTTTTGCCGCGAGGATCTTCGCACTCGAGCCCATTGCCGCGACGTTTATCCCGCTGAGCGGATCCGCGCGTTCGGCCGCCTGCTCCTCCGTCAACGTTGACGCCCCGTCCTTCAAGTACTTGAACTCACACATATCCCTCGACTCCAGGTTCTGCGGGTCCTGCAGGGTGATGATGTCCTTCCGCGTGAACTCCTCGTCGCCGACTAGATCCCGCCAATGTTTCGGCCTAACGTTCAATCTCTCGACCGTGTCCCACGCAAACACGTTCCCGCTTGTCCGGATCGCGACGATGTGCGTGTTATCGGTGAACACCTTGAAAGTTACGGGGTCGCAGTATTCCCCATCCTCATTCTTCGCCATGTGCAGCTTCAACAAGTCTTTGTGCGAGAGCGGCGCACCCGTGACAGGGTTCGTGCCGTGCTTCTTCAGCCATGGGATTATGTTAGTTAGGTCGAAGATTGTGCCGTTGGGAGTGCACACGGGGTGCGTGAAGGGTTGGAGCGAGACGGCGCAGAAGTTGTAGGGGAGCCGCTTGAAGGGGAGGTTTGTGGATTTGGCGGTGTAGCCGGAGGATGCGCCGAAGGAGTCTGAACCGCTCCATTCGCTATGGGTTATGTAGAGTTTGTCGGTTCCTGTGGAGGGGTTTTTTTTTTCCCTCAGTTAGTTGGAGATTACCATGAGGAGTGGTGGAGGGTGAGAGGGGGGAGGCACCTTTTCCCATTGTAAAGGTTTGGAGGTGAGTGAGCGAGAGTGAGTGTGTTGGTGGACGACCTGGTGGGCTTGGAATAGCGGTAAATTTACTCGTACAGTACTGACAGCTTGCTGAGGCTCAAGTAGGATTGCCAAGGCAATTTATCGGGGCTGGGGGGTTGGCCAAGAAACTTGTAACAATAATCATCATCGCTGGTGTGGCGGTGACGTTTCAAGTATCATATCATACTGCTCCAATGATTTGCCCCTCCACCACCTTGCAATAAAGGGTTGCCTGCTTGAGCATTGGTACGAGTACGAGTACGAGTGCCGCCGATTAATATATTGGTCACGTGGATTAAACCAGCATGTTGCAACCAGATTTTCCTCAACACCACAACTGACCGTTCCCATGTTTCCATGATAGTTTTAATGAAATTCAATGAAAATAAACACAGAACAAAAAATAAAATAAGTATGATAACACAAGGAGCAGGAAAATAAAAAGAAAAAACAGACTTCATCCATGGAAGTTGTTGTCACCCTTGTTTTTAATAACAAGTTCATGCTTATTATGAAGATCCAAGCAGTGCCGATTGATCAAATCAATAGGTATCTTTTCCCACTCTTGTAACAGTGCCCTCTTGACCTCATCCTTTGTAGTCTGACTCTGGCCAGTAAACTCGTACTCCTCAAGTGAATCTTTTAAATAGTTCCAAAGAGGTTCTATTTTGTTAAGATCCAGAGATTGAGTAGGCCAATCAACCGACCGTAACCTAAGGCTGATCCGCTCCTCCTCTCCCACCTCTTTTACCGTATTGTGTGCAGAAGCATTATCTTCTACCATCCACATCTCCCTTCCAGTTTCTCTTTCCACTTTCTGCATGAAAGGATAATACAGAGGACATAAAATATTCTCTCTGTATAAAATCCAATTAATTCCTCCTTTGCTTCTGTCTTCTCTCTCTTTCACCAATTTCTTAAACTCCCGAGCCGAACATCGCTTTTGCCGTGGATACCCTGAGGGAAGAGGATCTACTTGATTTAATATTTGTATATTAGCATTTAACTCCTTCAAAATCTCAAACTATTCTGTTCCTTCAATAACTGCCTGTGCTCGTCTGTGATCCTGTTTCAATCTCTCAACTTATTTTCCTCCACAACCATTTTTCCGTAATATTCCTTCTCTTGCTTAGTTTCTTTTTCCCAAATAAAATAAGGACCCCGATACCTGTAAGTCATACACTCCCAAAACATAAGCTGTACTCTGGTAGGTTGAAACTGATACATATTGTAGTCCAATGGGTGTGAACCATGAGGACGGGTGTCACAAACGTGGCTTAGCGAGGAAAGGGTTTTCACGTGACACATGGTTATGAGTCACAGGTATGTTATTGTTTCGCGCATATGATTTATGTTTCGCACATGACCTCATTATGATGTCATGGGTTTCGTGCATATGACTCAGTCGAGTCATATGACTTGTTTATTGCGTTATGATTGGTTTATGAGTTTTGCACATGACCTCGCTATGAGGTCATGGGTTTTGAGCATGTGACCACTTCGGTCATATGACTAGTTTGTTATGATTTAGTTTCGCACATGTGACCACTTTAGGTCACATGACTAAAGGTGGGAAGAACACTATATAAGGAAGCCAATGCGGCTGAGGAAGATAAGTTCTTCATGCTTTGTTCTAAGTACTTTTCCTACTTATTACTTTAACGAATATAAAACACCTTTACGATCTTTATCTTTATTGCAACATTATTGTTACGCCAAGGAAGGCGCTTTACGAAGAAGAGTTAGAGAAAGCTTACGATAGGTGTTCCCGGTAGAAGACAAGGGTCTTGTACTATCGGTAACGTAGGCAGAGGCCTAGAGCTATCGTAAGAGAAAGGAAGAAGAAGACAGGAAGAGAAGTATCGTTCCCCATCGCCAAGCACTAACTATCCAGAGAGGGATTGTTACATTACAAAGCGTCACCTAGTGCGATGCCAAACAATACAAGACAGCATCCTTCAACCCAAACAGAGAAGGAGATATTAACATCGACAATCAAAATCTTAATCTAGGAGGATTTAGCGATGTCCTAGATCACGTCTCAGCAGAACCCTCAAGAGCAGCAAGCCCAGTAACCCCAGAGAAAGGATCACCAGTCGATAGCTCTCCTGCTGGAACTCCACGACTCAAGAGAATGTTGGGATCCGCAGAACCTGGGCCACCGGCCCCAGCCGCTCCGGCACCAGGAACCAGCATACTTGGAATGACTGAAAATCATTTTCAGGCATTTCTTGCAGCCACGCGAAATACATGGCAAGGAAATGTCCAACGACCAAAAGCAAAGGAGCCCGACACATACGAAGGAGCTGAAGATAAGCTATGAATATTCTTAGCGCAATGCGAGGGATATTTTGCCGATAAGGGATACGGAGATCACCATGATGAAATTAAGATTCCATATGTGGAATCTCTACTCAGAGGACTCGCGGAACAAGGGATCATGCCCTTCCAAGATGGACGGAAGCAGAGGGAATGGGTCACATACGAAGAGTTCAAGGCGACACTTTTTGAATAATTTGGAGACCACAACACCAAAGAAACAGCAAGACGAAAGCTAGAAAAACTCCAGCAAGGAAAACAAACGTTCTCAGCATATTGGAACGAATGTCGACTGTTGGAATACGAGGCTGAGTTTGATGATGCGACTCTCTACATCATCCTCCTGAGAAACTGCAGTGAGAGACTCTGAGAGGCATGGGGAATCTCGGACCTGCGCTATACGACAGCCGAACGATTTGCAAGATGGGCAATCGACAAAGAAAGCAAATTAAACATGATTCGGAGCAACTCGGAAAATTCTATAGCACATAGAGTGGTCCAATCATCCTGGAATGTGGATGGGACCTTTAAACCGCAAGCACCTCGAGGAGAAAGTCGAGCATTACCACCAGGCGAACCAATGGAACTAGACAAGTCAAGAGCAGGGCCTGCTCTGAATCTGTCTAAGGAAGAATATGCCAGAAGGAAGAATGGGAAACTATGCCTAAGGTGTGGAAAAGCAGGGCATCGGATACGAGAATGCAGAAGCCAACTGGACAATGGATACCAGGGAAACAGAGCTGCTGGAAATAATCGTTTCCAAAATCAGAAAAGAAGCAACATCCACGAAATGATAGCAGAGGATTCACTGGTGGAAAACGACGAGGGTCCCCAGTAAATGGTGGTCTGGGAGACCCAAGATGTGGACCTAGAAAATCCATCAAATTAGCGAACTACTACACAGCACTACACACGTAAAGAGGAGAAGAAGATGGAGATCAGGTGATAATCAAAGCGAAGATATACAACAGAGAAAGCGAAGAAACAACAATATATGCAATGCTCGACTTGGGGGCCACTGAAGACTTCATCGACAAAGAAATATGCAACAAATACAGCCTCCACACCAAACAAGTGAAGAAAGCAAGACAAGTCTACTTAGCGGATGGAAAACCAAGCGCTATAGGTCCTATAACCCATACGGCGACAGTACCCATGGGCATTGACAGCCAAAGTGAAACGGCAACATTTCAAGTGGCAGATCTGAAGAACCACGAGATAGTCCTAGGGATGCCATGGTTACGAAAGCATAATCCGACGATCGATTGGAACGAGAACAAGATGACCTTTACAAGTGAACTATGTGCGACACAATGTCTCAACAGTTCACCTGTGGTCTACTCAATACCGATACGAGAAGCGGAGGAAGAAACTTTACATGCAAAGTTTGCCGAGATGCGGCAAGATAAGAGGGTCCGGATACAAAGACTGGACCAAGAGGCAAAAGTGCCTACCAAGGGTTCCAAAGAGGCAGCAGGACACGACCTATATGCCAACGAAGGAATCAAGATACCTGCCAATGGGCAGGAAATGATAGCGACGGGAATAGCCATTGGACTCCCAGAAGGCACCTATGGACGAATTGCACCCCGCAGTGGTCTAGCAGTCAAACACCGACTCATGACCATGGCAGGGGTGATTGAGGTCGACTATACCGGTGAAATCAAAGTGGTCCTGGCCAACCTAGCTCAAGAGGACTACCAAGTCCAGAAAGGCGATTGAATTGCACAGTTGATAATCGAAAAAATCAACAAAGAGGATCTGCATGAAGAAGATCAACTGGAAGAAACCATAAGAGGAAACAAGGGATTTGGAAGTATGGACCAAAACCAGCTCGATACAACAAAAAGAATTGAGATCAAAGAGATGACAGCACAAGCCTTCAGACGATATTATCGAAGAGGAGATACAACAGGAATTCTCAAATGGACATACAAAGACGAAAAAGCGGTTCTAGCAAAAATCAACATCAGCACAGAGCTAGCAATCCAGGACAAGAAATATCAAAGCAAAAAAGGATGGAGAGAATTGGTTCCAAAAGAATATCACCAATTCACAAATCTATTCCAAGAAGAGGAAGCTACGGAGCTACCACCTCGAAGACCAGGAATAGACCACGAAATTCTGCTGGACAAAGACGAAAAAACGGGAAAGACAAAAGAGATTCCCTATAAGAAGTTATACCCCCGAGGGGAAGCAGAGCTTGAAGAACTTAGGAAGTACATCGAGCAAAACCTAAAGAGAGGATGGATCCGAGACTCTTTCACGTCAGGAGGATCCCCAATACTATTCGACAAAAAGAAAGACGGAAAAATGAGACTCTGCGTGGACTACAGAGCCCTCAATTCAGTTACCAAAAAAGACCGATATCCACTACCCTTGATTGGGGAAGCACTGGACAGACTACAATCAGCAAAATACTTTACCAAACTCGACATCAAAGATGCATACTACAATATACGCATCAAGGCAGGAGACGAATGGAAGACTACATTCGCCTCAAGATACGGAATGTTCGAATACTTGGTTATGCCCTTCGGGATAACCAACGCACCGGCTTCATTCCAGAGATGGATCAACAAGGTACTTAATAAGTACCTCGACATATGTTGCATCATATACTTGGACGATATACTCATATACTCGGAAAACATACAACAACACCAAAAAGATATTAGCAATATCATGGCGGCAATACAAGGATCAGGAATGAAGATCAAACCAACAAAATGCGAATTCCACAAGGAAGAAACAGAATACCTTGGATTTATCATCAATCGAAGTGGGGTCAAGGTCGACCCTGTTAAAACAGCAGCCATAAGGGATTGGGCCAAACCAAACAACAAGACAGATGTTCAATGCTTTATGGGATTCCGCAACTTTTA